TAAGCAAGGGCGTGGAGGCCCAGTGTAGTGACCTTCAGGCTCAACTGGTTGAACTGCGCGGCCAGTTAAACGGGTGTCACCTCGAGATTGATACTCTAAGGGGAGAGATCGCAAAGAAATAGCAGGTACTCGAGAAGGCAGAGTCTTCCCAATTGGATGCTCGGAGAAAGATCGACATTCTTGAGCTGGCGAATAAGACTCTCCGCTCTGAGTAGGAAAATGATCTATTGACGGAAAGAGCTAAGAAGGACCGTCTTGAGGAGAGGATCGGGGAGCTGGACAAGGAGAACTCTAAGCTTCATGATCGAGTTGCTGATCTCGAGGCCGAGAAGGTTCAACTACTCACGTGGCCTAATTCATCAAATGCTTTCGAGTATCCTAACATTTCTTGGGAGTTGTACGAGGAGTGGATCCATGCTGAAGCCCAGTTGGACGTGCTCCATGACTTATATACGGCGCTATTTTGGGAACGACTCTTGAGTATGCTTGAGTCAAGTCCTGTGAGGCTCGGGTTGCTTGTGATTATGATCATGCTACACCACATCCTGGTGAGTAGGATGAGGAGGAGGGCATAGATCGGCTCGAGGATGATGCCTGGTATGATTCCGCTTACCCTCAGGGCAAAGATAGAGAGAATACTGGGGGCTGAGATGGTGATGGTGTCGACGATCGGGGTGGTGACGTAGTTGAAGGCCGAGATGGCGAGGGTGTTGAAGGCCATGATGGCGATCGCCAATAGTTTTCGTTTAACTTTTTGTGTATTTTTTGTTGGCGTCTTCGAGTGCCTATTATAAAAACCTCTTTATCTAAGTATGAATATCAAAGTTGATCCTTGTACCTTTTTTATTCCTGCAATTTGTTTCTGTACATGTATATTTTTTCTTGTGTTTGCATTTTCGCTTTTTGTCCTTTTTATTGTTGTCGCCTTCTAGATGACCGTAGCCTTTGAGCTGAATAGTCGTGGGACATATCGGCCCTTTGTTTATATAGGTTAAGTATGTCTCTTAGTTGAGATGTGGCCAAGGGCCGATAGGTGTTGTTCGAACATGGTCGAACTTAGCCTTTCATTAAGTCATGGCCGAGGGCCAATAGGCATTTATTCGAGCTTGGTCGAGCTTAACCTTATGTTAAGTCATGGCTGAGGGCCGATAGGTGTTTGTTCGAGCTTGGTCAAACTTAACCTTTCGTTAAGTCACGACCGAGAGCCAGTAGGTGTTGTTCGAGCTTGGTCGAACTTAAACTTTCATTGGGTCACGGCCGAGGGCCGGTAGGTGTTGTTCGAGCTTGGTCGAACTTAACCTTTCATTAATTTGTGGTCGAGGACTGGGAGGTGTTGTTCGAGCTTGGTCGAACTTAACCTTTCATTAATTTGTGGTCGAGGACTGGGAGGTGTTGTTCGAGCTTGGTCGAACTTATCCTTTCGTTAAGTTGTAGCCAAGGGCTAGTAGGTATTGTTCGAGCTTAACCTTTCATTAGAGCAGTTTCAATAAGTGTGAATTTCTATTACTTTGATGCCGTTACTCTGATTACATTGTTTTGCCCTCGGACAATTTTTGGAGAAAGTTACAAATTTTGGGTGTTGGCTGGTGTTCCTGTCCCAGTACCTTCATTGTTCGACTTGGAGAATCTTGAGGAGTTGGGCAATGAAAAAGAAATCAGTATGTTCTCGTACACTCCGACTCGAAGTGTTCCACCCGTCGCCTCGTTAAAACCCTCCTTGAGAAAACCCTATTGAGACAAAACTCAAGTGAGGGAAAAAAGAGTACGACTTGGGGGGGGGGGACTTCTTATTTTCTAGAAGTTGAAGTATTTGAGGTGGTTGATATTCCAATTGTTTGGTAGTTATTTTCCTTCCATTGTCTCTAGTTGGAATGAACCCTTATTTTCTTTGCCTATAATTTTGTATGGCCCGTCCCATTTGGTTCCCAATTTGCCTTCTCGTGGATCCCTGTTTGCTTGGGTTTTGGCTTTGAGTACGTAGTCCCCGATCTTGAGCGGTCAGACCTTTGCCTTTTTGTTGTAGTAAAATTCTGGCTGTTGTTTTTGGACGACCATCCGTATGTATGCCATATCTCTTCGTTCATCGACTTCATCGAGCTCTTATCTCCTACTCTCGTCGTTGCTAGTGCCGCTTTCATGGGAGTACCTCAGGTTGGGTTCTCCGACCTCGACTGGTATAACTGCTTATGTTCCGACCACAGTCCCTTGGCTTCTTCAAGTTTCTTCTTCATGATGTTTAATATGGGCTTATTGGAGGATTCTACATGGTCATTTCCTACTTGGTGATAAGGAGTTGAAAGTATCCTCTTAATGTGCCATTTCTCGAAGAATTCAGTAGTTTTCTTTCCCGTGAACTATGGCCCATTGTCGCAGCTTATCTCTTTGGGTAGACCAAATTGGCAGATGATGTTTTTCCATATGAAGGCGATTACCTCTTGTTCGCGCACTTGGGCGAATACTCTTTCTTTCACCCATTTAGAGAAATAGTCAATTAAAACTAAAATAAATCGTACATTACCTCGCCCTGGCGGGAGTGGATCCACGATGTCCATTCCCCACTTGATAAATAGCCATGGAGAGGTGACCGAATGAAGGTGTTCACGTGCTTGGTGGATTATTGGGGCGTATTTCTGACATTGCCTGCATTTATTCATGAATTCCGAGGCATCTTTCTTCATGGTGGGCCAGTAGTACTCGGCCCGTATGAGGCACCTGACGAGTGATCGATCACCGGAGTGAGCGCCGCAATGGCCTTCATGGACTTCCTCGAGAACACATTGAGTTTGGTTTGGGCCTAAACATTTTGCCAAAGGACCGCCATACGTTCTCTTGTATAAGTCATTATGAAGGAGGTTGTATCTAGCCACTTGCATTCTTAGTTTTTTAGCTTCTTTTTTCGTCGTTTGGGAGGGTGCCATCTTGCAAGTACGTAATAATATGATTGCGCCATTCCTAAGTTAAACTTACAGATTTTACCTCGACTTAGTGTAGTGAGTAGTTGAGGAGATGGACTACGCTTTGGTCCCCGGCCGTGATGCTTTTGGTGGCAGTGGCCAATTTGGCGAGGCCATCTGCTTCGACGTTCTAAGTTCGAGGGATCTCATCGAGCTGGCATTCGTCGAAATTGGGCAGCAACTTACAAATCTTGGCTTGATATTTTTGCAACCTTTGTTCTTTGATTTGGAAAGTCCCTCTGACTTGGTTGACTGTGAACTGGGAATCACAGCGAAGTCTTAACCGCTTTGCCCCATATTTGAGTGCTAGCCTCAACCCTGCAATTATGCTCTCGTTGTTAGTCATATTCGGGCATCTTATGGACTGGCGAATTACTTCGCCGGTGGGGACTTCGAGTACGAGTCCCAGTCCGAATCCGGAGGCATTGGATTTCCCATCGGTGTACAGGACCCAAAGGTCTTGTGTTTTAAAAGAAGCTTGAACAACTTCTTTCTCGGCCTCAGGAATTACTTTCACGCTAAAGTCTGCGATGAAGTCAGCGAGCACTTGCGACATTATTATTGTTTGAGGCTGATATGTGATGTCGTGCTCACTTAGCTCGATGGTCCATTTGGACAGCCTCCCCGACAGCTCGGGTTGATGCAAAATGCTTCTTAGAGGGATAGTGGTAACGACTGAGATAGGGGCACTGGAAATAGGGTCTAAGCTTTCGTGAAGCTACGACCAATTGCATGGCCAATTTCTCGAGGTGTGGGTACCTCGTCTCGGCGTCGACAAGTGTTTTACTGATATAATAAATAGGAGATTGCGTACCTTTGTTTTATTGAATCAGGGCCTCACTTACTCCTACTTCGGAGACGGCGGGATAGACGAGGAGGTGTTCCCCGGGTACAAGCTTCGAGAATAAAAGTGGCGATGACAAATATGCTTTCAGTTCTCGCAATGCTTGCATGCACTCGGGCGTCCACTCGAGGTCGTTATTCTTTTTGAGTACGTCGAAAAATCTATGGCATATATCGGACGACCGCGAGATAAATCTCAATAGGGCAGCGATTTGACCAGTCCACCTTTTGACTTGCTTCTTAGTAGTAAATTGCTCAGGTGTCTCGTCGATAGCCTTGATTTGATCTGGGTTGACTTAATCTTTGGCGGCCACTTCACCTTCGTTCCAAGCTTCTCAAGGGTGTAGACCACCTCTGCAGGTGAAACACAAAAATTGTGAGCAGATAACAAAGGGGGCATACCTCTCTCGTTCCTGTGAGTCTCCGTCCTCGGCCTAGACGGGCCATCATCATAGGGAAAGGAGGGAAAGACGAGTGACCTGACATAAGTTTGGTGTTGTTCCCTGTTTGCCTACGAGATTGGATGATCCCTCCTCATGTTATCTCTTCGTTATTTCCTGGGCTCGGTTTGTACCAAGATGAGTCGTCGGGTTGGTCCATTGAGGTCGTCATCATCTGCTCGGACCTCTGCACAGTAGGCATTATGGATTTCATCCCAAGTGGTTACAGGATACTTCATCAATCGGCTCAATAGCTTTTTGGTCGCTCTTGAACCCTCCCTACTCAACCCATTCTGAAAGGCTGGGACTATCATCCCCTCGGACACATTTGGTAAGGTCATCCTTACCCTGTTGAATCGGGCGAGGAAATCCCTTAGTCTCTCTACTAGGGATTGCTTGATGGTGAAGATGTCGTTTACTCTTGTTTCGGCTTTCTTGGCCCCGACGTGATACGTTCTACCTTGTGGAGCTTTAATTATGTGAAAAAATCATTCTCGAATGATATAAGAAGGATTTGCATTTATGGTGGAAATTTTGTTTCCTATACTATTAAATATCTACTTTCGAAGGCAAGAAGGTTTTAAAATCACATAATTTACGATTAATTAATTCAACATTTCCTTTTTTAGACTCACTTTTCCAATCAAGAAATATAACCAATATTTCCCTACATGAACTAAACTATGTACCAACACATAAAGACATCAGCAAGAACATGTAAAATCTAAGGATATGCATAATCAAAATTCAAAGTAGCAAAAGGTCAAAACAAATAAAAACGGCCAGTACGTAGAAAATATTTATCTCTTTAGAACAGAAGTATACAGAGAATTATACATTGTCTCTCTGTCGCTTCAACTTTCTTCAGTTAATTAGCTGAAGAGGCTGCTGTTTCAAAGGATTGTTTCCTTACAAGAAGGCATGTGATTTTTGAGGGTTGAGCATGTATATTATCAACTGTATACAACACGAAATCCGGTCGATGCAATGCTAAAGCCAACCTTTCTTTTCCTGCATCCAAACCAGAAGCATCTAACAGAATATGCCATGAATTTCTATGAGCTTCTGATATCCAATGCATCGAGTAACGTGTTTCTTCCACGTAAGCAGGATATGCAAATAGCCCTTTTGGACTATGCTTAGATTTTCTCCTAAAATATTGGCTAAGTTGTGATCCTTTAATCCTCAAATCCAGCCATGATTCTGGTGCTGCAATCACTTTTGAATCTTTAAAACTAACAAATTCCCTTATACAATCATAATCTTCACCAAGAATTGTCATGTAGTAATTTCCCCTGAAGAAAGGGTAACATTCTCCAATCATCATCATTGCTTCTTTTAGTGTAACTCTAAAAACAACTAAGTACTCCTCTTCACTTACTCCACATTGTTGCAAAGCTCGATTTCGGACTTGAATTTCTGGGATTGAAATGAAATTCCCTTGGTAAGAAGTTTTCTTGGTGAGAATATCAAGCAATCTTGATGGTTCCAATAGGATTTTTCCCAACTCTGAATTACTACTTCGAAAAGAAGGCGACGACGACTCTCTCCTTGGGGATTTTTCTTTCCCATTAGCGGATGATTCATCGGTCAGACAAAGCGTATAAAGATCAATTTTGTCTCCTTCTTCCACAAGTCCATTGCAATATTCAGGGTACTTGGCCAAAACATACTGTTGAACATATTGCATTTCACTTGGTGTTATTGGCCCTGACCATCTTAAATCAAGGCCATGGAGTGTTGATATAGCTTCTGCCACCAAATGGGCTGGAATTACAGTATTTGCTTTCTGTTCTTTTGTCAACAAATCTTAATCAAAACATACTCTTTTAAGCTCATAACATGAAATAACTCATGACAGAAAATATTTTTCAAAAAAGAAAAGTTATTATTATGGTGTTGTTTTTTTTTTCAGAAAATACTTTTCAGGGAAAAGTCTTCCACCAAAAGGGAGAAAATGATGACCTCCCTCACTTTTGGGCGGAAGTCATTTTCCTTCAAAATTATTTAAAATTTTAACTTCATATTATTGCTTTAACCAAACCCCTAGACATTATTATCAATCATCAATACTCAACAATTTTATCAAAACACCATCCATTTTGCTAATATTATTATAAATTTCAATAAATATTTTTTCGGTACTTATTTTCATAATCTCCAACCAACCACCAGAAAACACTTTGTGAGAAATAAATGTGAAAGAAGATAGGAAACCAGAGGAACAATAAGTTTTTAGCAATGTTTGCATTGAATTTTGCAACTAATTAGTTTCATGTCCTTTCAATTTCATCAACCATACCAACCCAATTATCATAAAAATAAGACTAAATTTCATGGATAATCATTCAACTTTATGTTCATTACGCAAAAGTGACTTTTCTTCTTTTTGTTACGTAATAATCATTCAGCTTTGTGTTCATTACCCAAAAGTCATTTTTCTTTCTTTTGTTTCACAAAAATTATTTTACTTTACTCAATTTATCACAAAAAATACCTTGGCCAGATTTTATAATATTTTTACTTGAAAAGTCTATTATGTCCTTGAGATTAATCCTCTCATTTATGTAATACCTTCTAAATTATATACTATATAATATATTTTTACCTAGGTATTTTACTTATAATTAAAATAACTTTAAATTATTTTATTTATTATTTTTATAATATATTCATACATTTAATTATTTTTCATGGCACTCAATTTGTTTAATCATATTCAAACATGAACATATTTTAAATATAAAAATGATAAAAAAATATTTATTTTTTAATATTTATTTAAAATAATAAAAATATATTTGTTTAACAAATGATATTTTTATAGTCAATAAAAATTTTAAAAAAAGTTTCAAATATACTTGTGTTTAATATTAAGTTATTTAATGCTTTATCTGTTAATATTATTTATTTGAAATTATTAATCTGATGTTTTATTTTGTTAAATATGGGTATTTTATTTATTAAATTAATGGATATGGCTTGGCTGATAAATCAATGAGCTTTGATTTTTTTATTTTCATTAAACATATTTTGTTAATCATGATTAAGAACGTGGACTTGAGATTTGTTCACGGTAATGTTAATGACAATTTTAATAATGCTACTTATATATCTTGAAAATTAATATTAAGAAAAAATTAAATGTACGAATATATTACATAAATGAGAGGATTTATAATGTCAAGGGCATAATAGACTTTTCAGGTGAAAGGTTTGTAAAATTTTATCAAAGTGATTATTGTGATAACTAGAGCATAGTAAAATGATTTTTGTGTAACAAAGGAGAAAAAATGACTTTTGGGTAATAAACACACAGTTGAATGACTTTTACATAACAAAAGAAAGAAAAATACTTTTAGGTAATGAACAAAAAGTTGAATGACCGTCCATAAAATTTACTCTAAAAATAACATATAGATAGAGAGAAATTGAACTTGCCTTAACCACCATGCTATTTGGTCTGCTATTAATTGGTGATCTTGGTATAGGGGGTAACAAAGATTCTATAACCTCACCATCCTAAACAAGAAGAATTAAGAGGAAAAAAGCAAAATCAATCAATGAAGTTGAAGCTTTATTAATTGAAACTCATTAGACTGAAATCTTGGATTAATTAGTACAAGATCTTCATCACTCAGAAGATATAGAAGAGGTCATGCATACCTTGGAATCTTCGTTTAGGCTTAGCTGTTCTTCAACGTCTTTTCCCATATAGTGTCTGCACTTTGATTAAACTGAACAAGCAACTGCTTTAAGGCCAGGAACTGAAATCTGGAGATTTTGACAAAAATAAATGTGCAGAAGAATTGCTAATTGATTTGCACAATGATATTGCAAATAATTAAACGTTAAATATATATTTAACATTAAAAGGGGACACAAAGACGCCGACAATAATAAAAGTCAATTACTGATTCACTCTCTCTTTAGGTAACTAAGGTAATCTCATGCCCAAGGAGGTATCTTTAGAATAAAGTATAAACTAGAAAAGAAATATTTGAAGCTTGTGATTTTGCATATGATATTTCAATGAGAAGTTTATAATCAAATTATTTTAGTTATGTAAAAATATGCTATATTAATTTTTAGAATATATTAATAAAAAAAATAATATCACATAAAATAAAACAAAATTACTATCTTTTTTTTTTCCTTTGTGCCCGATAGGACAATAAGTGATTAGTAGGTTACAATTGGAACCTTCAAGTTATGAGTCAGAATCTTAGTGATTTCTGATCCTGTTGACATTTTCTACTCTCTTTTAATCCATGGGAAAGTAAATGAGTATTTTCTTTTGTTTTCATTTTACCAAATTAAAGAATGCTCAGAGACAAACTTATCAAGATGTTGAAATGATCCTTTAGTAAGGTATTTAATTTGCATATAGTGACAACATAAAATTTTAATATGGTACGTAAATGTTTTTAAACATTTTATAAAAGGTTATCCTCACATATTTTGGATTATTAATTTTACTTAATATAGATAATTATATGTAATTATCTTTAGGTAATCTGATAGTGAATTTTTTTTCACTAGTAATATATAGAAGTTAAACTCAAAAACATATTTTCTAATAATTTTCAGTTTTCATAGCGTTTAAGAATGAGTGATACACTTACTAATAATGCTTCAAACACATAAACTACGATGAATCATTTGTTGGTATTCAATAATTAATCAAATTTGAAAACGGTCATAGAGCTTGATGTTTTTTGTTTCTTATAAGTATCAATCAAGCGGACACATAAACTAATCACAAGTTGATTAAAAGCAACACGGAATGCAACAACTCAATAAATTAATTTGTTACTAATAAAACATATATAGAGGTATTAATTGATCAAAAAAGTTATTGTTAGAGATAGCGACCGTTTAAGCATTTAAGAACGTCGGCTAGGTTTGAGGATTGTTTGGTCCTATTATGTGAGATCAGCTTGAATAGTTCATAACTAATTCACCAACAAATATTAAATAAACAATGGGAATATCATGTTGGTCTCATCTCCAACGTTCCTTAATATTTCAAAGTAAAGAAAATTAATTTTTGGCAGCATACTATCTAGAATTTTCATATTTGACCCAAAATTCAACAGGACGAGGCATCTTTTATATGCTCCTATGGGTATTTTCATCGGAGAAAAAACCAATTAGCCAAGTATTCGACAAATAAAAAATCCACATGAGGATATTTTAAACTCTTTTCTGTTTTTCTTGTTCCTCCTTAAGTAAAAAGTTGGATTACCAAAATATCCTTCTTAAAATCGTAATTACCTTATTTATAGAAAATAAAAAATGTAAGAGTAATATTTTTTTTAACAAAAATAATAATAATTTATTTGAAATGTCATTTCTAAAAAGTTGTGACTTTTTAATAAGTAACTAAATATCTTTTTTAAGTATATTCAACTGTGTAACGATTCGGCCGGTCGTTTTGAGTATTACAATCCCGTTTTCCCATTTACTGCTCAATTTATACTTTACAGTGTTATATGACTTGCCGGGGCAATTGGATCGGGTCCGGTAAAGTCTTGGAATGAATTAAAATATTTAGTTCCAAAGTTTAAATCTTAAGTTGAAAAGGTTGGCTGGATGTCGACATATGTGTAAACGACCCCGAAATAAAATTTTGATGATTCCAATAGCTCCGTATGGTGATTTTGGACTTAGGAGTTTGTCCGAAAAATTATTTGGAATTCCGTAGTTAAATTAGGCTTGAAATGGCGAAAATAGGAAGTTAAGTTTGGAAGTTTGACCAGGGAGTTGACTTTCGTCGGAATCCAGTTCTGAAAATTTAAATAGGTCTGTTATGTCATTTATGACTTGTGTGCAAAATTTGAGGTCAATCGGACTTGATTTTATAGGTTTCGGCATTGAATGTAGAAGTTGAAATTTCTTAGTTTCATTACATTTGAATTGGGGTATGATTCGTATTTTTAGCATTGTTTGATGTGATTTGAGGTTTCGACTAAGTTCGTATGATATTTTGGGACTTATTGGTATATTTGGTTGAGGTCCCGGGGGCCTGGGGTGAGTTTCGGATGGTTAACGGATTGAATTTTGGACTTTGAACTTTGCTGGAATTTTTTCGATGCACTGTCTGGTTTCCTTCTACGCGATCGCGTGAGAAGGTTCGCGATCGCGTAAGCTTAGCTGGGCGGTGGAGAAATTTGCTCTTCGCGATCGCGTGAAGAGGGCTGCGATCGCGTAGTTCTGGGATTTTCTGATTCGCGAACGCGTGGCTAAGGTCGCATTCGCGTAGAGGAAATGGAGCAGAAGTGGAGGTCACGCGTTTGTGCTTCGCGATCGCATGGACGAGTCCACGATCGCGTAGGTCTGTGAAGTTGAGCTTCGCGATCACGTGGACATGTCTGCGATCGCGTAAGGTTAAAATTGGTCAAGAAAAACTGTGCTTCGCGATCACGTGAGATTTTTCGCGATCGCGTAGAGCAAATGACTTGGCAGAGAGTTTAAATTCTAAAAATGGGACATTTTTAACGATTTGGAGCTCGGGGAGAGGCGATTTTCGGGAGATTTTCAAGAAAATCCTCTTGGTTTAATTTGAAGATTTGAGGGTCAAGATTGTGTCAAAATTTGATAAAATTGGTATGGTTTGACTCGTGGTTGAATGTTCATTCATATTTTGTACCTTTTGTCGAGTTCCGATACGTGGGCCCCATGGGCGATTTTTGAGTTAAATTTTGGATTTTATTGGAAAATTAGTATTTTCATATGGAATTAATTCCAATAATTTGTATTGACTTAAACGAATTACTTCTGACCAGATTCGAGGCGTTTGGAGGCCGATTCGTGAGGCAAGGGTATAGTGGAGTAAAGAATTACACGGTTTGAGGTAAGTAACATTTTTAAACATGGTTCTAAGGATATGAATCCCCGAATTTTGTGTTCTATCAATTATTGGAGGTGACGTACTTGCTAGGTGACGAGCGTATGGGCGTACACCATAGAAATGGTGACTTAAATAAATTCTGTGGAGTTGTAAAACTAAAGAATCAAGTCATTATTCGCATATCCTCTACGTGCTAGAGAAATTAAGCTGAGACTCGTATTAAAGATCATGGTTAGGCTACGTGCCGATACTTTGGGACCCATAGGGTCATATTGCTGTTGAATTATTCATTTGAATTGTAATTTTGTACTCAGTTACATCTATCATTTGCATATCATATCTCACTCTCTGTTATCATTCATTGATACATCATATCATCATGTCGGGTTGATTTTCATGTCATTGAGAGCCCGAGAGACTGGAAAGTTTAAGTGATATTTATGGGATCGGGCTACACGCCGCATCATGCCTTATTTATTTATGCCTGGATCTGGCTATTATAGCGCTTGGGCTGAAGGAGCCCCTCCGAAGTCTGCACCTCCCTAGTGAGCGCGGTTGATTTACATTGAGGGACTGATCTTCCCTGGGCATGGATCTTGCCCGAAGCATTTATATTGATGAATGGGTCTTCCCTCTGCATGGATCTTGTCCGAATTATTTATATTTGGGGATAGATCTTCCCCTAGGCTGGATTGAACTTATACAGTACTGAGTGACTGACTGTTAGTTGATGTGTATATATATATATATGGGATGGATTTTCCCTTGGCTAGATTGACCATATACAGTACTGAGTGATTGAGTATTCTGAGAGTGTGAGTATACGAGGTTTTCATTGTGGTACATCACATACAACATATACTTTGGCATGTAGATATAGAGATGTCATATTTCTCATATCATGCAGATTTTATCTATTTTTCCTGTACGGAGTTTAATTGTTGAACTGGAAAACATGCCTACATTTCTGTACTGTTATTTATATACTAGACTGTACCTATTGATCTCGTCACTACTTTCAGCCCAGAGGTTAGTCTTGTTACTTATTGAGTTGGTTGTACTCATACTATACTCTACACCTCGTGAACAGATCCGGGTATTTCCGGATACGACGGTTTTCAGATTTAAGGATTTATCTGTTGGAGATTATCAAGGTAGCTGCTTGGCATCCGCAGACCTTGACTCTCCTTCCTTTTAGTTATTGTACTGTTCTATATTTTCAAATAGTGTTCTTATCAATCAGACTTTGTTATTATTTAGGTGCTCATGTACTCAGTGACACCGGAATTTGGGAGTGTTTTGTTTCTGAAATTGTGAGGTTTTCTATTGAATTCAAATATTATATTTTCAAACTTAAGAGATTATTGTGATTTATTGAGGTTATCGGCTTGCCTAGTATTGAGATAGGCGGCATCACAACAGGTTAGTATTTTGGGTCGTGAGAAGTTTGTATTAGAGCCTAGGTTACATAGGTCTCACGAGTCATGAGCAGGTTTAGTAGAATCTTGCGGATCGGTACGGAGACGTCTGTACTTATCTTCGAGAGGCTGCCGAACCCTTAGGAAAACATTTCACTTTCTTGTATTCTATCGTGCGAATTTGTTGATTCCGGAAAATAAATTTCTGTTATCCTATTCTCTCACAGATGGTGAGGACACGTACTACCGGATCGGACGGTCATCCACAGTGCCACCAGTTAGGGCTGCGAGAGGCAGGATCCGTGGTAGAGGTCGAGGTGTAGCTCGTACAGCAGTTGGAGCAGCGCCTATAGCACCACCAATTACTCCAGCTCAGGAGCAAATTCCAGATATAGTTGAGCCGACAGGACCAGCTCAGGCACCAGCTGTGCCTATTGTGATTCCAGGCCTTTAGGAGGCTTTAGCACATATATTGACTGTTTGCACCAGCCTTGCTCAGGTGGTTTCGGCTCGGGTCGCACCTGTCACTTCTCAGGGCGGGGGAGGTACTCATACCCCTGTTGCCCGTAATCCAGAGCAGGTAGTACAGGGACTTCAGATACCGGGGCACTACCAGCCTAGCCGGTTACAGCTGCTTAGGCTCCAGTAGATTTGGGAGGCTTCGACCTCCATCATTTAGCGGTGCTGAGTCAGAGGATGCTCAGGATTTC